AAGAAAGAAAGAAAGAAAGAAAGAAAGAAAGAAAGAAAGAAAGAAAGAAAGGAAAGAAAGAAAAGTAAAGGTACAAATCACTCTGTGCTGTTCCCAGATCTTACCAGAGTCCTTCACTTGCTGGAAATATAAGTCATGAACATAGTGTAAGCTGCAAACATTTTCTGGGAGATACCAGGGACTCAAAGAGGTCCATGGTGGGAGGAGGAGGAGCCAGCCCTGTTCAGAAAGGCAATGTGGCAAATTTCCGCACCAAGCTGAGAAGCGGTGTTTTAAACATGAGCTTTATGTGGAAGGACAATGGAGCAAGCTACCACCACCGCTGCTTGTATTAGAGCAAGAGGACAGAGATCCTTGCCACGTGGGACCCGCTCTCAGAACAGGCACTGGATGTGTCCATGGCCTGCTGCAGTCTGGGAAACCACCCCATGTCTGAGCAGAACACTGCCCTAACTTAATGCAAACCCCTGGTCTCCTTCATCTCTACCTGCTCGTCCTACACTGATGACAATTCTACTTTCAGTCACCCAGGAAATCAGTCCCCTTCTCTTTGGTTTCACTGGTCTATTTGCACCAATATCACCAGGGCATTTTTTTTTTCCTGGTTTTCTTAAGACAGAATTAGCATATAGCATTCATTGTATAATTTTAGGTATACCACATCACATAATCATTTGACATATGTATATATTTCAAAATGATTACAATAAGATTAGTTAACATTCCAGCACCACACAGAGTTAGTTTTTTTTTCCTTGGGATGAGCACTTTTAACTCTACTCTTCTCAGGACTTTCAAATATGCAGTCCAGTCTTGGGAACTATAGTCACGTAATGTTCATGCTGAACATTACGACCCCACTGCTTACGATCTACCACTGGAGGCTCGAACCTGTGATCATGAGGTTTTAGAGGCTGTGGCATTATGGCAGTTATAACATCTGGTAAGGAAAATCTCCTAGGCTCCTTATTCTCCTTTAAAATAGTGTCTACCACAGATTGCATGGATCACTGAGTGTGGTGCATAAATAATGAATCTTGGAACATTGAAAAATTAAATTAAATTAAATTTTTAAAAAAGTATGTCTATCTAAATTATACAAACAGTATATATACAAACAGTAAATATATATCTCATATATATATGAGAACATCAGGCTATGCACCATATGTATACACAATGTTTATCAATCAGTCCTCAATAAAGCTGTGGGGAGAGTGTCCCCACCTTCTTCTCCCACCATGCCATTTACCACCTTTGATTAGTTTTCTTTCCAATTGTTCTTAATGTTTGTTCCTCCCCACAGAATGTTTCGTGATGGTAGAGACTTATTATTTTGCCTTAGAGCAGTGCCCTGCATGTACAAACTCTTGTCACCTGAACAAATGAATGAAGAGTCTGGCCGGTCAGGTTCCAGTGGCTAAGATCAAAGACACATTGCTGACTAGGGCTCAGTTCACGGCTTCCTCATTTATGAAACATGTTGGTGATGACAGCCGCCTCACAGAATAATCCTGATTCATGCTGGCAATGATAGCCAACTACAGGCTGAGCCTGATTCATGCTGGTGACGATAGTCACCTACAGGCTAATCCTGATTCATGCTGTTGATGTTAGTCACCTCACAGACTAATCCTGATTCATGCTGATGATGATAGCCACCTTACAGACTAATCCTGATTCATGCTGGCAGTGATAGCCACTTCACAGGCTAATCCTGATTCCTGCTGGTGATGATAGCCATCTCACAAGTTAATCCTGGTTCCTGTACTTAACACAGTACTTCCATGTTGTATATGAAACAAGAAGAAAGGAAGTAAATATGAAACCCATGGAAACTGAAATGAGGAAAGAAGCCAGTTATTGAACACCTCCTATATTATTGTTCAAGACTGGAGATTTACAAACATCTTTAAAAAAAAAAATCACCAAACAATATATATCTTTGCATCTCCTTTTTACATGTTGAGAGAGTATGAGAGAGTGTGATTTAGATGAGTCAAGATTGCTCAGCAAATAAGCAACTCACTGGGGACATGTCCACCACTCCCACTGAGCTGGTTTTCTCAAAGGAGGACAATGGTGTCCTTTCCTCAGAATCACTTAAAGTTCCCATTTAAAATGTTGTCTCATGGGTGTGGTGTATAAAGAATGAATCTTGGAACTCTGATAAAAAATAAAATTAAATTAAGATGTTAAAAATAAATAAAATAAAATAAAATAATAAAATAAAATCTTACCTCCTATGTCAATACCAGAGCAGCAGAACTCTGCTGAATTCACAGTCTTCCTGCCCATGGGGTTCCACTGCCGCTTTCCTGAGGTGCCCCAGGAGGAAACGAAGGGAGCAAAGATAGCACAGAGAATCAAAAGCAAAGGAGGAAAGTGGGACCAATGCCATGGAGTGTAGACTTCATAACATGTCAAGGTTGGACAGAAAGATAAGGCAGAGAAAGGACTAAAAACATCTTTGTTAATGCATCTGCCCCATCACTCCCCAAATCTCCATGACACAAGTCATGGTCACCCTCTTCCATGCTCTATCAGCTGTCCCACCACTAAGTGTCCTCACCCACATCAGGGAAAGGCAGGGGCTTGAAGAAGAATTTCTACTGTTACAAATATATCACAACTGAGATACCATGTCATATCCAATTTAAAAAAGGGGATAAAACTACATACAAAAATCAAGGACTACTTTGGGGAGGGTATGTGCTATGGTGAGTGCTGTGAAATGTGTAA